TAGTCATCCGCGCAGAATTTTCAAATGAAAACATATCGTTCAAAGCCAATTCGTTTCCAAGAAAGACTATGCTTCAACTGCCTGGGACCACACCAAGTGAAAATTGCCCATCAAATCATACGTGCCATTCATTTGAACAGCAGCATCATTCTTCCTTACACGACAATCAGCAACAGCAGCAAATCGCCCATGACATCCAACTCCCTAGACGAGCTCAAGCCGGAGGTAACGATCTAATGGATACCGGGTAATTTCAACATTCTCGGAAACGAAAAGGCCGACCGTTTAGCCAACGAAGCCGCCGCTTTGAATGACGGTCCGGAGGCGACCTCTTGTGACGCAGCATAATCCATGTATGCACTGCCGCAGTTTACTCGCAAATATCGCAAGCAAGGGACGGAAAGACCTATCGATACAATATAGAAGCCAACTTCCTTGCCAGAATAAGAGCGGGCCACAGCTACAAATTTAACGCCTAAAGACACTTACTGGTTCCAACCACGGACCCAATCTGTACGCGATGCGGCGAAAATAACGACACAATGGCCCAGCAGTCTTCCACATGAAACATTGAATCTTTGGAAAACAGAATATTGAACTCTCTATCTTGACAGAGGATGCAGACCGGTCGATACAGCTAGCAAGAGCATCCCTAGGGTGCCCTTGACTGCCATAACACAACAACAACAACAACAACAACGCAACAGTAGCGTTCGCATCGATTCAACTCAAATCAGCAGCCGAACCTGTCAATCCACCTCGCCCGCCAGGAAGACGATCACGAATAAACAGCTCGTTACTACTTCTCATTCCAGTGACTTGCGACAGAAGAACCTGCACTTGAATGTATACGCTTTTCTTGACAATGAAAGCTTACACCACTACAATTCACAAATTACAGTGAGACATCCCGAACTCCCTGAAACCAATCACGAAGAAGAAATTCTTATCAGATGATTCTTTGACTCTCAGAAAATCGACACCCGCACCGTCTCTGTGGAGAAATCAAAAGATCCTCATTAAACAACATGATGATTTAAACAGAATTTGCAGTCAGTATTAACATTTACGGGGCATTTGTTTTCTCAATTTCAGGAACTCGATAGGTCCAGTGATAGGAACGACCACATGGACATCATCAGCCTACAGACGAGTATCAAAGGAAAAGGCGTTCTTCGAGATGCTTTCATATAACTTGGATGGCCCATGCCGGACTGAATAATGACATCACAGCTTTCATAACACATCAGCTTCAGCGACAGTAAGAGAGCTCGACAAAAGACATTAAAAAGCCGAACTTCGCACCAGCTTCTAGAGAATGGAAACTTAACTCTCAAGGACTACAATGATTACCCCCAAAAATTGGTTATTGGAGGACTTGATCAACAAATTGCGTTGAACAAGCTACGTATTCAATCATTTCCTCTAACAAGATTCGAAAATTAATATTATTTGAAAAGCATCCGGGAACACAGTATAACCACAATCTAAGACTTCTTCCGATAGCATAACAACAAAAATGTTCCTTTTACTCTTCAAGACATGCAAAAATTGATCGAGTTCTACCATAATAAGGGAATCGACATGTTGAAACTGGGGTTCACACTTCCACATCTAGCACATATCTGCTTACACAAATGGATAAAACAGAAAATCATCAGTTTTTTAAGGTGATAAGGATTTGTGTAAGAAAATAAGAGAAGACATGACAGGTGGACCATTAATAGATTTTACGCGAAGAACAGTTATCGATCAAACCTATATTCGTATCTCGTCAAAGGTATGCAAGGTAGTCGGAAATGACGCTAGCCAATTATATCCATTCTCAATGTGTCAGGAGGTACCAACCATACTTTACACAAGATAGCAGTTTGAATCGGCAACTGAACGGTTCAAGGCTAGATAAAACAGAACGCCAAATTTCGACAACATGGTAAGGACCTTTTATCAAGAATCAAGACAGAGGTTAAAAAGTTAAGTTTCTATACAATCGGAAAGCACAAAAATGAAAATGGTTGCTGTGATCACTGTAAAACAGTATTCGAAGATATAGCTTGCTACTATCACTGCTGATTCTGTCAACAATTCCGTAAACCTTTAAGGGGCAAATAAATTTTGGGAGGGAAACTTAAAACCGGAAATGGATGAGTTGAGACAAGGGTATATAACAGAAAAGGCTAGAAAACTCAGGAAATGTGGGAATGCGAGTAGTGGTAGTAATGTAAAAGATCCTACACTCAGGAATCAGGAACCATGCCAAGACACATTTTTCCTTCAAAAGATCCGGAAGGATATTGGAAAATAAAAGCAAAGCTCTGCCAATGAAAATGAAAACGTAACAGTCATCACTTCCTTTCATTACTTCTATCTCGAACTTGCACTTCACTGAACAAAAAATTATAGGATTAATCAGTGCACTCCCAGGAAACGCTTCAACGTCTTTGCTCGATCTGTTGTCGATGCTGGACCAAAATGAGGAGAGCCACCTCTCTGGAGTTGTTGCTGAGTCGAAGCTTTTGGGTAACAGTTCGTACGGTTATCAAATCATGAACAGATCCAGAAACACAAAAACCAAAAACATCAGCAATGAAGACAAACGAAACAAAAATTAAGACGTTTTTCAAACCATTGAATGTTGTGAAAAAAAAATTATGAAAAGTGGAATTATTAAAATCAACCATTGAATACAGAGAACCAATTACTGTAGGAGTTTTTATTCTTCAGTTTTTACACTTCAATTTTTTTCTTCAGTTTTGCGATGAAACAAGTTCGGAAGCTGGAAATGAATACAGACTTTTTGTATCTAGCATTATCAGAAGAGAAGTTAGACGATTGTATATTACATAGGAAATTTCATTGGACAAAATTGCGCCGAAATGACTGCAAATATGTTTTTATAGCCGATGCAAAGAAAAACATTTTACCGCATATATGCTGCGCTGTTCAATAAAAGAATGATAAACGAGAACCAGTACTACTCACAGAAGAAATTTGCTGCACTGAAATGTTGTGCCTAGGCAGCAAAACGTATTGCTGCTATAATAAAAAGACTCGCAATCTCAAATTTAAAAGCAAAAGATTCAACAAAGGAATTTTTCATGATTCTGGGGATAGATCAATGTCCAAATAGGCACGCTATAATGAATTTTTGATGCAGCTATATAGTTGAAGTCGACGAATTGGGGATTGAAAACCACCAGAATTTAGTCGTAACATATGCAACAAAATTACTTAGTTACTTTACCCGAAAAGGGAAGTTCTTAATGATGAAATCAATGCTAAACTATTGAATTTGAGATCTAACGTACGATTCATACGTAGATTTAAAGTACGTTTCATACGATTCAGTGAATTATAATTATATTGCAATTAAGTTCTTCTGAAAAACCTTTTTTTCTTTGAAGTTTCAGTCAGTTCCAACATAATTTCAGTTGGTTCGAAAAAAAAACATCTTAATGCATATGATCTTAAAAATTCTTGAAGAAGATCTTAAACATTGCTGTATTGGCAAATTCGGGCGCCGAATTTTTTTTTAAAAATGACTAACTCAATTTTACTATCTCAAACCTCGTACCTTTTTACATGGCAAGAGCTATTACTGGTTTGAATACATGGGAAACTCTTATCTCCTATCTTATTACATAGCCTACAGACCGGATGTCTATAACCTGTCTTAATACACGGGAGGCTGCAAGTACCCCCTAGCTCTCCTCACACATATACTAGTATCGTGTCTGTTGGGTTATTTTTAAGTGTGATAACTTGGCGTGGGTTTGGATACATTAAGGAAAAATGTTATGAATGTTTAAAACAAGTTCACGAATTAGAATTTCGGGTGAATTTTCGCATTTTTTTAAAAAGAAACTGCTCTTTATGAGTACAAAAACATGAAAAATACTAAAATACTGTACACGAAGACTGAAAACACAGTAACTCCATTTTAGAAATTAAAAAACATTCTAGCCTGTTCGTTGCACGTTTGCTATTACAAGTTCGTTATTCGAGAGTATAACTTGCAAAACACTTAAATTAGACAAGAATGTGATCTTCAACGTTTTGGATTTTTTAAAATTTAAGTTTTTGTATCTCGAAAACTACAAGGATTTGAGAAATGCGATTTGGAGGTAGTATTCGCAACCCCTGAGAGTACCCTGACCGCACCCAACTACAGGGTGAAAATTTCAAATTTCGACAAAAACGAATCGAAAAAAAGAATATAGGAAAACAATAGAAAAAAAGATCGAAAAAGAAGGATCGAAAAAAAGATAGAAAGATGCAAAAACAAGGATCGAAAAAAAGACAGAAAAAAAAACTAGAAAAAGGAAGAAAGAAACGATCGAAAAAAGTGTCGAAAAAGAAGGATCGGAAAAAGACAGAAAAAAGATAGAAAATCCAGATATAGAGAAAAGAAGATTGGAGACAACCGTTTGACAGTAGTACTATTTTAAACTGAATCGTCGAAACCAAATTGAAAGTTAACAAATTAGGAGACGGGTAGACAGATATAACCAATTAAATAAAACAGACAGACAGACAGACTTAATTTAGTCTCGAAAAAAAAATAACTGAAAAAATGATGACCTTGCGGAAAACTAATTAAGCATTGCAATACATGATATAGCTGAAACATGAAAAAATTCTTTCGTTAAACATGCAAAATTATTATGCTTAAACATGGGAGATAGCTGTCACTAAACATGGGAGATAGCTGTCACTAGCATTTAAATATAGTATAGATAGATATAGATAGATAGATAGATATAGATAGACAGATAGATATAGATAAAAAACGTTAACAAATAAAAACCCCGCAACCTAAATTGATGAAAAAAACGTACTTTAAAAACTTAGACAAACTATATCATCCGCTGAAACTGCAGCTTTAAAACTATTCAGTTTGCAACAACTTAGCAACCTTGCATTTTCATTAATTCTGCCGTGCCCAGCTTTTTGCATATTACTACATATACCTCTAAGTCAAAAGTCGAACATTAAATTACCTTGTAGTGTTTCGCCCTGCTGCACCGTGTGCTGGAAAAATGAGTCTGTGCATGCTGTATTCGTAAAGGACCCATAATTTCTGCCACTGCTTTTCACAAGTCGTTTTGGCTGCAAGGCGGATGACGATAACCCCGCATTATTGTAACCCAAATTACCCCCCAAGCGCCTCTCTCGCTGGTTCACTGACTCACTATGTGTCATAAACTGTGACTCATAACCACTTGTGCTAAGAGTGTAGTCTATATTGAGTGACCTCGTCACCTCTTGCTGAACTGCAGGTTTGAACAGAAGAGGTTGTTCCGACATGCTGTCTTGTTTTCCGATCGACTCAATCGAGAAGTTTCCAGCAACCATAATACGAAGAAACAGTTGCAATAAAGTGAACTAAACTTGACCTCACATAGTTTGCAGCTTCAGTGTGCTCGGCTGATCATTGTCCACTAGTCGAATGTCATACAAATTGCAGCATAACTAATCCTGAAATGTTTCATAGTACAGTATTGGTTGTCAAATAGTGAAAGTAAATGACATGCACTTACTATTCAAACCACCAGGCTGATCATCACAGGTTAAAAGAGATCAGTTCATGCTTAGCTGAAATGTCAAATGGATCTAATAAGAGAGAAAAAATATGTATATTTATCAAGCTTCAAATGCACAACCAGCAAAACAACTATAAAATCAATTCTTCATCATCACGTAACACGAATTAAGTACAAAATAAAAAAAATAACTGAAACTGAGCTGAACTACATAGCACAAAAAAAAACTCAAATAATTTGCACATTCAATATTAATACAAAATCATAATAATAGAATCTAATTAGTAAGGCAATATTTTAGCACGAAAAGTAGTGTGTTTTGTATTTGCAGTTAAGGCACTAGGAATATGTATTGCAAAGTGAGATAATTGTCTGCTGACTTTATAGGTTTTCTTCATCTTCGTTTAAGAACTCGAATTCTTCTAATCCCAACTTAGAGGTGACAAACTCCTTCATCGCTTCTATTTTAGCCTCCATCAGGACCAACTTCAGCTCCAGAGACCCGCTTTTCCTCCTCTCTTTTTCCAGATCTCCAGCCAGCTGCTCCTTTTCTTCTAGGGTCTCTTTCAAACACTCTCTGGTTTCCTCACAGACCCACTTCCAGTACTGTTCGGTCTGATGGTCATCTAAGTCGTCAGCAGTTAACAGTTTCTCAAGATCATCCATATCTAAACAATCAGCCAAAATAAATTTGAACACTATTTATTTAGTGATTGAAAATATCAACAACAGAAAACTTGATCAACAAGATTTTTCATTTCACTGGGAAAATTAACACTGAATGACTATGATTAAATGCAAGGGAAAAGACAAACAAAAATGAATAAAAATACCTTCAAATAGCTTTTTTGACAAAAAATGCTACAAGCCAAAAAAACCCTTGAACGAAATAACCTGCATCATTAAAAACTTGAGAATTTTTCGGAACGCCCGAAAGAAGTCGATTTTTCAAAAAGTCCATTCTGCGCGAACTAAGCCGACAAAAACAAGCAGACAGGCGTTAGTCTAAATTAGCCGAAAATTTACAGTTTGCAAAAAATAAGGTACTGACTGAAAACACACTCTGAGCCTTTGTCGTTCAAGCATGGGTGTTAACCTCTCAAACCTGGGTGCTATAGAAAAAAAAAGAAACAGAAATGTAACATTTTCAAGAGCGAATTCTACGAAGTTGTATACGAAGAAATAAAGTATAGCACCCGGTTGCAACACACTTGCTAATAGCAAGGTTAAAAACGTCCAAATTATTTCAAGAGTAGGCACGACTCAACCTTTCTGTAACACATCAATGGTTCGAAACGTCGCATTTGGCCACCTCAAACCAGGAACAATCGAATAAGGAACTTAAGAAAAACAGAAAAAATAAGACTTCAAAAATTTGCAATCAGATAAAATTAAAATTCCAAACTATACGATTATGGTGAGTGCACAAAGTCAAAAAAGAGGAGTTTCTCAACAGTTAACAGTACGGAAATGCAGAACTGCTGAACAAACTAAATATATCAAAATGAATAAAGCTAGTTGTGAAAAAAAAATGTGCCAGAACAAAAGAATTTGAAATTAGCATCGGAGGAAAATTACCAAGCGGTAAAAAGCGAAAATACCTGAGCAGAAGCCGTTTCAGGCAAAAAATCAGAAAAACATTTAGGCTAATAAAAAAGTTCGAGTCTCGCTTCTATTCAAAACATCCTCACACGCACACGAACAAATATAGACCGAAATAATTTAGGCAGAATTAAGTTTTCAAGCGAAAAAAAAAAGAATATACGAGGGCAAGGTTCGTAAAATTACAAACAGCAGAAGTAAATAAAAACACTAAGAGCAATTACTGTGTAAATTGCGCACATAAAAAAAAAACAATTTTACGGTGAGGCAACTAATCCGACACAAAATAAGCAGACAAATAAGCCGACAATTTTTTTGAACCGGAAAATTTTTCGTTTGAACACAAACAAGACCTGTCAGCTTCGCTTCCAGGACATTCGCCGTCCTAGGCATATTCGTTACCTTCATACCAAGTGATCCAGAGACGCAAAGAAATTTAAATTCATTATTACTAATCCTTAATTTACCATGTCTAATTTCAAAAAGTCTAGTACCCGGTTGCAAAACACTTTCTATCGCAAGTGTAACAAACTTATATTCAATACAAATCAAAGGATGCAGTGACTCTGTTCGACAAACTACTACACCTAAAAATTCTCTGTTCCGATTTGATTCCGCTCACTATTCGCAAGCGTACAAGTCAAAATTCAATTTTGAAACTAAAATCCAACCAGGTTTTTTGCACCATTTGTACTTTTATTACGGGAGAGTCTATTTTCCCTCCCATTCCGCAACTGAATTTCAATTAAGAAAAGCAGAATTCAAACCGCGAAAAATCAAATTAGAGCTTGAAAAACTACTAAGGACTTTTTGCCTGAAAAAAGCCACATGACTTAAATAAGTTTCTTGACTTCGTTCATAGGCACTTGAACAAAAAGCTCTAAAAGATCATGCTCAGATCTTAACTTATTTAGGATCCAGCAATTGTTGAGCATGCTTTTCACTTATAGTGACCACATTGCGTGATTTGATTCACTTACGTCAATTCGAATCAATTTCTCATTAATTAAAAAATGAAAATTGGAGCAACATTTCCTGAGTTTTTTCGCGTTTTTAAAAAGATAAAACTCATTTACAAAATCACTTAAAAACCAAATCGTTCCATGCAAAAAAAAAATCAATTCGTAATTCATCCAACCGTTTGTATTATTTTCTGGCAAAACATTCTTTTTGCAACTGTCACACACTAAATTCTCTCCTTCCACTTCAGGTGAAGTATTTGTAGCCTTCTCCACTAATTCTTTCCCTCTCGCAACTTTCTTCACAGTTTTGAGTGTAGTCTGAACTTGTTTTCCATTTCCGTTGATAGCATGCGAGGTTTCATTCGATACTTCTCGGAACATTTTCCTCGGCACTCCTGACGACAATGTTTCTTTTTTCTTCGGGATATAAACATGCGTATTTTCAGTATCCACCTCAATCGAGGATAGAACCTTTCTACTCATTTTAATCTACTTTCAGTTTGTTTTATCTATATCTGAAAAAGAGGAATTGAAGCAAAGAAAACTGAATACACAGTGGGAAGCGGATACAACACAAACATAAAGAAAAACATAAGAAGCCGTTTTGAAAAACTAGGTCTACCAAATTTTTTTTGAATATTCAATTAGCAACGGAATGAAACTTACAAAGAGGAAACAAAGCCGAAAAACTTTCATCATACAAAAAAAATTGAAAAAAGTTTCAAGTCAAACACGTGGCAAAAGTGGCACCAAATACAAAATGACAATATAATGATAATTTGGAGTATAACAAACAGGCATCCACACTAACTTTGCATATGAAAGCATAAAGCCTCCGGTACTCATAATAAACCGAACAAACTTTTCATTCAAGTTTTTTTATACAAATTTTGAAGAACCAAAATTTTTTATAAAAGTTCTTCGAAAAATTTAATATGAACTGAAACATCTCATCTGGGAAACTAAAAGCAATTGAGCAGTCGCATTTGGACGCAAGATTTGTAACTCCTGAGAATACTCTTACCGTACCCAACTACAACGTTGGGAAATTCTAATTTTGAGAAGCTTCACCTGAAGTTTTCTAAAAAAGGTATTTTTTTTTAAAACCAGTAAAATTTCACATCTCGAAAACTACTAAGATTTTATCAGTCTTACTTGATGGCAATATTCGCAATCTTTGAAAGTACTCTGACAGCACACATCTACAGGCCTGGGAATTTCACTTTACTGAATTATTTTGTAATGAGTTTTCTGAAAATTTCCATAAAATAACCACAAAAATCGTCATAACTCTTAAGCTAAAAAAAATTAAGTCATTCTTAATTGGAGGCTCAATTTCCAATCCCCAAAAATACTCTGACAGCCCCAAACTACAGGCTAGGAATTTCAAACTTCGAAAAAAAATTATTTAAATTTTCATGAAATTTTTTTTGAAAAAATCACAAAAAACGTCTTATCTGGAAAACTACAAGGTTTTGAGCAGTTATATTAGGAGGCCGAATTCGCTACTCCTGAGAGTACCCTGACTGACCCTCACCTCAGAGATGGTAATTTCAAGTTTTGTGAAATTTTTTATATCTAAGTTCTCTGAAAAAATTTGACAAAATCCTCAAAAACGTCATGTCGAAAGCTACAAAAATTCAGAGGCAACATTCCCAACACCCACATAGAGTGCCCTCAGAGATTCGAATAACAGGATTAAGAGAGTTTCAAAGTTTTGGAACTTTTTAACATGTTTTTTTGAAAACTTCGAAGAAAATAATAGAAAACGTAATATCTCAAAAACAACACGTATTTGAGCAGTCATATTTGGAGGCAAAATTGCAACTACAGAGATCAGCATATCAAATTTTGCGAATTTTTTTATATCTTAGTTTTCTGAAAAATTTTTAAAAAAATCCGAAAAAAGCACCATATCTCGAAAACTACAAGAAGTTAAGCAGCCATAATCAGAGGCAAGATTTGCAACCCCTGAGAGTACCCTCACAATATCCAACTACAGGGTGAGAATTTCAAAAATTGAGAAACTTTTTAAAATTAAATTTTCTAGAAATTTTTGAAAAATCTCGAAAAATGCCTATCTCGTAAATTCAAATGATTTGGTTATTCATATATGGAGGCCAGAATCTCAAAACCTGGGAAAACTCAGACAACATCCCACTATTGGGTTGCTAATTTCAACTTGATGAAATAAACACTGAATTTAAACTGGAAATTCGACAAAAAAACCTTAACCATTGCAATATACGATATTGCTTAAGCGTGAAAAAATTCTTTTTGTTGTTAAACATGCAAAAAGCTTTAAACATAGCGAGATAGAGAAGCCCGCATTTAAATGTATAATTATAGATAAAAGATGAAAATTAAAAAATTAGGAGACGGGTAGACAGTCATAATCAAAATAATTTTAAAAAAAGCAGGTATACAGACAATTTGGCATCGAAAAAAAATTACTGAAAAATTAACCTTGCGGAAAACGAATTGAAGAATTTTATTAAGCATTGCAATATATGATATAGCTCAACAATGAAAAAATTCTTTCGTTAAACATGCTAAATTTATATGTTTGAGCATGGGAGATAGCTGTCACTCGCATTTAAATATAGTATAGATAGATAGAATTATTAAAATTAACTAGCGTGTAACGCACCTCCGGTGCTTCGAATTTTTGAAAGCTCACAAAAAACCCATATATTGGAAACAAGATAAGCATCCTTTGAGTGTACTTTGATAGCACCCAAAAACAGGGTTGGTAATCTGAATTTTTTTTTGAAGTTTTTCGAAAAATTTTAAAATGACATAAAAAACAGTCACATTTCGGAAAGTAAAAGCGGTCGAGTAGTCGCATTTCGACGCAAGATTTGCATCTCCTGAGATTACTCTCACCGTACCCAACTTCAAATTTAACTTTTCTAAAAAAACTTTTTGAAAAAACCATAAAACGTCATATCTCGAAAACTAAAAATAACTCGAGGAGTCACATTTAGAGGCGCAACCCCTGAGAGTGCTCTGACAACCCCCAACCACAGGGTTAGGAATTCAAATTTTAAAAACATTCCAGAACAAAAACTAAGTACCAGGATTTGAGCAGTCATATTTGGAGGCAAAATTCAAACTCCAGGGAGTACCCAGACCGAGCCTCACTATAGAAATAAGAACTTCGATTTTTGTGAAATTTTGGATTTCTCTTTGAACAATTTCAAAAAGGCAACAAAGGTCATATCTTGAAAACTAAGAGCATTTCAGCAGTCGCAGTTGGAAGCAAGATTTGCACGTTAAAACTCCAGAGAGTACTCTCACAGTACACAAATACAAGATTGGGAAGTTTTTCAAATCCTAAGTTTTCTGAAAAATTAAAAAAAAAATCATAAAACACGTCATATCTCGTAAACTAAAAAGGATTTGGGCATTCATTATTGGAGGCAAAAACCGCAACTCCTGGGGAAGCCCAGAAAACATCCCACTATTCGGTGCTTACATTACACTTGGAAAAAAACACTGAATTCAAACTGGAAATCTAAAAAAAATTCTTAACCATTGCAATATATGATATAGCTTAAACATGAAAAACTTCCTTCGTTAAACGAAGAAAAAATAATACGTTGAAAAAGCTTAAACATGGCGAGATAGTGTGAGCCCGTATTTAAATATATAATGGATAGATTATGCATTTCAAAAAAATTGCGGGATCTATTGAGTTGGAAAATTTCTGAAATCGAATTTTTATTATTGTACTGTTGATTGAAAAAACAACTTTTCGGTTCAATCGATAAACGAAACAAGCATCAACTATGTTAACTTAATTCTAATCGAATGTAAAATCACATGCTATCAAAAAGCCGTTAAGATCCCAAAAGTGGTACCAATATTTGGGACTTAGATTGAAAGAAAAAAGAATAGTCGTAGTATAACACTACTCTCGCTTAAGCTGGCTAGTATACTAATAAAGCAAGTAAAATTTGTAAGAAAAATTGTTTAGGGGAAAAGTTTAGTTACTGATTACAAGATAATTGTTCTCGCAAAAGTGCCACAGAGGCGAAACGGAACTTGAGAAACAATTCAAGCAAAAAAAAACTTAAGAAATCGAAGTAAAAGACGTTGAAAAAACTAACTTTACAAAATTGTTGAATGTCTCGTTAAACAAGCTGGGGACCCAGCTAAAGCTTAAAGTGCCTGATTGATAATTTTTAAATTTGGTAAACTGATGCAGGCTGAAATAGTTAAATTCTAAATTTCAGAAGTTGGATTTTGCCAAACCCTTAGTTGTTTCTCTACTAACATAAGTTTGGATTTTTCCCGAGAACATATTTTTTACCAAAAAATCATGCGACGCCGCTTCTGCAGGAAAAATTCTCCTAACCAGTTCTTTCGATTGACCTCTTCATCTCAGATTTGATACAGTATTAAAAAAAACAATCAGAAGTAAAAAAAAAACGCGATTATCCGAAATCCAAAATTTCTTTCTGCAAAACGTATGTAGTGGCCGCTTTGGGCAGATAAGATTCCAAAAATCGGGTTTCTCGGATGAAAAAATCTAAGAATTGGCAGGGTAGTTTTCGAGAAAAACCAAAGTTTCCAAAAAACTGTCAGAGTTTCAAAACTTTGACATTTTGGAAGGCCATTATTTATTTCTAAAAAAATTGGGAGTGGTTGCGTGTGCAGTTAAGGTTTTTAAAAATCTGTTGTTAGATTACACGCTTGATATTAATATTACAGGATAGTTATCGAGGAAAGTTAAAAGTTTCCGATAAAACGGTCAACAAATCATAAATGTGACTTTTCTGAGAACCATGGCTTTTTGTTTAAGAAAACTCAGGCATAGCCGCTTATGCGCGAGATATTCACAAAACCTGTTGATTCGATTGAACCCAAAAACTCAACTTTCCGAGGGTAGTTTTCGAGAAAGGTAAAATAATTTCAAAACAGAAAAAAAAATCGTCTTTTCCGAGTGCACAACATTATGAGTTAAAAATTGAGAGCAATCGATTATGAAGCAGAAATTCACTCAGCATGTTATTTCGTATGAACTCAAAAATTAGATTTGCGAGGTTAATTTTCGGGAAAAAACAAACAGTTTCAGAAAACTAAAAAAAAACTTTTCCGAGGGCCATAACTCTGTGTAAAAATAGGCAGAGTCGATTATGCATGGGAGCTTTCCACAACCCGTTATTTAGGTTGAGTCTAAAATTACAAAATTGGGATGGTGGTTTGTGAAAAAAAAAACAAACCAAAAAAAATTTTGGCCAACTATTCCCCCACAGACTTTTTCGAAGGCTGTAGACAATGGGGTAAAATAAAAGACTACGCATGTATACAGGAACACAGGGGAGTAGGCGATCTTTCCTTAAGATATCCAATTTTGAAAATTGGCAGGATAGTTGGGTAGTTTTTTTTTGAGAGAAACTAAAATTTATGCAAACACTGAACACATTTATAACTTCTCAAAAAACCAAAAAAAACGTTGGCCAAAAATTCCCCCTCAGACTTTTTCGAAGGCTGTAGACAATGGGGTAGAAAAAGACTAGGCGTGCATGCAGGAACACAAGGGAGCAGGCGATCTTTCCTAAAGATACCCGTTTTTGAAAATCGGCAAGGTGTTTGGGTAGTTTTTTTGAGAAAAACTAAAATTTAAGCAAAAACTGAACACATTTTCCAAAGCGTCTCAGAAAAAAATTAAAAACCCAATTTCATACATTTTCAAAATGTCTGTTTTTATCATGCAGGAACTCTGGCTAAACATGCCAAGCAAAACAATTGAACTTTAACAAAGCAAAGTAAGCAAACTTTCGAAGTCTAAACTAATCCGACAATCTTTGAGTCGAAACAAATCAAGCCGAATTTTTTTTATAAACTTTAAAAACTCTCTAAAACTATAAAGAACAGCAATTGTAACCAACATGATAATTACTTACAGCGCAAGAAATAACACGATGTGGCACCTAAGCCGACAAAGCTTGAGCAGACACAAACAAACGGAAAAAATTTCAACTTCATACATACTAAAACATAGCTAATTGAAACGAAGATTGAAAAAGAGTCATGAACGCAAGTTAACAAAAATAACACACTGACTTTGCTGAAAAAATCTCAACTTTCGGTTTTCAAAGAAAAAAAATAGATGCCCTTTAAGCTCTTTGAAATTCAAGAACGATTTATGACCGGCGCTTTTTTGATAACACTAACCCAATTTGTGAAAACTGGATCAACACTTAAAGTTTTTATTAAACTGGAAATCTAAAAATTAAATTCCACTTTCGAAACTACTTTTCCACGTTCATATTTGGAGAGTGTTTTTTACGTCACTTTCAGCAGATGAATTTCAATTGATCTCAAAAAGTGCATATATACCTAAGTGCATTCATAAATGCATCAATATGTACTTGTTAGAGCATTTTAAGACTTTTTCCTGGAAAAAAAACAAAAAAAATCAGCAAGACCTAAGAGTCTTCACTACGTTCATTACTCTTAAAAGAACAAGGACATACCGGGACTCGAACTCCATACATTAAGTATGAAAAACAATCTGTTCGCAATAGTTCGTTCCTTTACTATGCAAAATTCCATTGCATTATGACATCGCTAAATAATTCTGTCAAACTTGAAATTCAAATGTCGGGAAAATGGAAAAAAGCCGAAGAAAACAGTAACTCTTGATTTTCCTTCCATTAAGTCTTCCAAATAAGATAATCTTACTCGAAACGACGCTTATTAATTTAACCTACACTTGTTTAAAATAAAGGTTCAACTATAAATTAACAACAACAAGAACTCAACTTAAAATTTGTAAACATTAACATATCAACAATTTACATATTTTACAAATTAACAGAAACAAAACAAATAAAGATAGATAACACAAAATCGCACACATTTCTAATCATTCTTCCTTCATTTCATTTCTCGGTCCGTGAATGACTTTGGACTGTTCCTTTGCCTCATTTGCTGAGCCAGTTTTCGCATGGTCAGAGCAAATCTGGTTTGCGGCTGTAACTGAGCAATAATCTATCACACTTGCTGTGGGAATCCTGCAACATGGCCCTTGGCACATGGGAATCGAAGGCATGAAAGGATGACCTTGTGCATAATGAGGATGCACGAAAGCTGGGTGCATCATTCCTATACCCCCATTGAAGCTCAACCCGTGATAACCAATCGGAACATCCAATGAGCTCTTTTGATCCACCGGAGCATCCTGGCATCTTCTTACCATTTTCGGTAAATGACTCGTGTTTGTATTTAGTTCTTGCTGAGATGGTTGTTGAATATAGGCCATGTGTTGATGCATCAATTGCGGAAACATATGATTCGGTACCATTGAGTGGTAAGGACTCAGATGGTTTCCATGATTCTGAATCGAAGGAACGCCTGTAGAATCCATATATTGACCAGCTCGGCCAACTTCTTTACCTTCCACTTCAGCGATGTTTTTCACATCATTTGAACAACTTGTATTCATGGATTTATTCTTTGACCTATCTTGAGGAATGATCGGACAAGACTTCTCTTTCGCTAAAGACACTGCAAGACTTGAGCTCATCACATCGGCGGCTGCCATCGAGTCTGAATGTTCAGAGGTTGCAGCGGAGTTTAGTTGCGCTAAAACCAGGCAGATGAAGCACAAACATTTGACCAAACCAATTACTTACAAACGTTTTCAACAAATCACTTGGATTTTATTTTTAACTTTTTCAAAGATATGTTATTTTTGGGCTAAATTTCTAAGTCAATTCTATAACCCTCAATGTTTAAGAAAGCAAACGCAAACGATGTCAGTAGCTACTTAATACATGATTTACCTTGTAATACTTTTTCCAGAAGAAATGTGTACTTGATTCCGCTAGCAGTTACTCGGCTACCCAGCTTGCCTGAACTAGCATACACAGGTTGATTACTCTTGTTCGGTTCCAGGGGGTACAACTTGCGTCCTGAAATGGGACTCAGTGCGTACCGTATTCTATTCATGTGCCTGCTTTTAGCCAGCGACATTTTTGTAATTTTCGGTTCGTTCTTGACAGGGTTTCTGAACTTCTGCTTCGAGAACCTGCGTGGGGGTGTTTTTGAGCTTCGCTTTTGCTTGCGCTCTGGTGTCACCTGACGTTTTCCGTGTTTATTGGTTGCACTTTTCGACCTGCCACTTGAGGATGATGAACAAGAAGATTTTCCTGAAGCACTTCTTGAACTATCGGAACTATCATCTTCAGATCCATTCAAATCAATGTAACTTGAAGTCACTTTCCTCTTGTACTTATCAATCGATTTCTGTCGTTTTCGACCTCTGAAACCAGAATCATTACCTGCTGAATTATCTAGTATCGCATTCATTTTTTTGTCATTATTCGGACCCTTCACAGTCGACATACTCATGTTGACTACCTGAAATTGAATCAAATTCGCTAAGATAGGCAACCCGTGATGTTGCCAATATGCAGCCATTTGCTCTCAGAATACATCCTAGTTTGTTCAACTAAACGTGCGATCAACAAGTCTAATTTCTAATCGAGCAAAGTAAACAGAGACAAGTTTAAAAATTCAACAGCACCAAATTCAATTTAAAACTCAAGCGGTTGCCATCATTACTAGCTGTTTTCTCTGCCTTTTCGTCAACTTCTTCAATTTCTTGGAATTTGTGATCGGTTGCACTACCATAGATTTCTGCTCGTTCTTTTTCTTCTGTTCGATTTTCTTCCTGCGTCGCTCCTTCCGAGCATCTTCTTCTTTCTGTGCTTCCTCTTTCAGCTCTTGCTCCATCAATTTAACTTGTTTCAGTTTCTCCCGCTCTTCCTTCTTTTTATCCCATGATGTATGGAAAGCCTTGTCTACTTTCAGACTGGAGAACTTGTTGAAATTATCTTTATTTTTCCAAGTTTGTTTGCCCATTGCTACCTGAAACTTTGAACAGCATGAAAATTTAATAAGAAATAACCACCACGCCATATTTCTGGAATCAATAGTTTCACTGCTACTTATGGCTGACCGCTCATTAATGCGGAACACTAGTGTCAAACTTTACGCATTATTTAACTGCAACTTCTAGTTGATAATTGGCGGACCATTCATTTGCCAAGTATGAGGAATTTAGCGCTTCATTGAACTATTTTGTTGCAGTTGCTCTCATTCAAAGGTTAAACTAAACCTACTTCATTTTTAAGGATCTTATTTCGAATTAACTACAAAAATTGCCACTCAAAGTTGAATTAACATCATAACTCGCAGATCCAACAATGAAATTGAGCAATCAGGAGTTTTCATTGCTGTCAATTCAGACATCGATTTCTGCGGCTAAACATTCCTCCTCAGTCGAGGTGTTTATTTGCTGGTGTCGATGACGTAAGTGAGGGCACACTTTCCACAGTAGTATCTGTCCTTGTGGTTGGCCATGAAGATACCAGCACCGCAGTTTTCCGACTCACACTCCTTCCTCAGTCGGGTGATTTTACCACTGTCGTCCACTTTGTAGTATTTAAGCACAGGAAGCTTGACCTACAACACAAAAAAGACTCGTTTCTAGGCTAACTTGACTTGAGCATTCATTTTGATGTTTGACTACCTATAATACCACTTCAAGTTCGATTTCCAAGATTCAAAAGCAGGAGCGGATATAGTATTTTTTCATACAGATTTATACAAAAATCGACAATTTTGTCAACTTTTCTGTAGATCGACCAGTTTGACTCTACCAGGTCTCCAAAAACTCTATAATTACCTTAAATCGCTAAACCTTTTGATAATAAAACTTTGATCAACATAGCCAAGAGACAGTTGGGAAAGAAAAATGAACGCAAGAAAACAAAAAAGACGTTTTTGCAAAATTTTCAACTTTCGAAATTCAAAATTAAAAAAATATATATGGCCTTAAAGCTCTTTCAATGTCATGAATATTTTATGATGGAACTTTTTTGATAAAATTAACTCAATTCCACAAAACTGGATCAATAGTTAAAGTTTTAATCCGCTGGGATACCTGAAACTTTATCCACTTGCGAAATTAGAAAACGATCACATTTTGTGACTTCTATACTTTTGATGTTCGATAGTGAAGTTCGCATTCCTTTTGACAAAGGATATTAACTTAAAAAAAGCACAATTCAAACCGCAAAAAAAAATCAAATTTGAGCGCGAACAAATTGAAGACTTTTCCTGAAAAAAAGCAAATCATCACGACTTATATAAGAGTTCACTACATCCATCGACTCTCTTTGGAAAATAGCTGCTTTTTTCAGAAGCTTTCAAAAAGAAAAGGCTGGCTAGCCCTTTAAAGTTACTATTATTCACTTCTTGACAAACCGGACAAAACGAACAGAACTGGGAACTTTCAACGCGTATGTCTCAAATTGCGTTGACGTTAGACAAAAAGCGATGTACACAAAAAATGGCTTAGACTTTTAACATAATTAATATACTTTTTTTTGCTAAGTTCCGGCATAAATGTTTACCTAAAAGAGGGTTCTTTTTGGCTCATTTGCTTCAGTCAAAAACTGCACCAAAAGTACAGGAGCAACTGATGAGAAAATTATATCAAACTTAACCTCTTGTGCGGCCCAACAAAGTTCAAGGTTTTAATCTCGCAAAGTTTGTAGAAAGGAATATGTTTTTGTTTGACAGTCAAAAAATGTCATTCCAACTTCATAAAATGTCAAATTGATCTAAAACGTTTTAAAACGTTTCTGCGCATTTTTCGGAGAACATACCCTGCTTAAATTTCGTTGGGCAACAGAAGAGGTTCCTCCAATATTTTCGGTGTACCATTTGCTCATCAGTTGATCCAATACTTTCGGCGTAATTTTTGATTGAAGAAAATGAATGAGTCAGAAAGGAACCTATTTTAGGTTAAATTTTCGGGTCCGAATTTTGCCAAAAAATGGACCATTAGTTCTGCTATAAAATCTAAGCTACTGTTGTTCTTATCAATTTTTGTCTAACGTGTCAACCCAAATTGAGAAAAACGCGTTCAAAATTTTCAATTCTGTTCGTTTAGTCCGGTTAATTCAAATCAGCACTGCACTTGCCAATGCCAATTTTGTCCAAAATATCTTAAGTTGAGTTGTCTAGAAAACAAATAGTTGAGGTGTCTGTCCAAGCTGACGCGGCACTGAGCGAAGAAGACATTTCAAAATGAAAAAACAAACTATTCAGCAAAATTGAATTCTAAGATTACTCAGCCTACTTTCGAATAACTAGTTTTTGAAAAAATCCATAATGTCTGGGCTCAATTCACCCTGTTCAAATTATATGTCAGTAAAAAAAAATATGTTGAATTGAATCCAAGTCAGAAAGCGGTCAAAAAAGTTTTGTTTTACCTTCTTAGTCTTCTTCTTGATCTTCTTGGGCGTAGTGTAGACCTTCTTCTTTCGTTTCTTACCACCACCAGACAGACCAAGAACAACGTGAATTGTTGATTCCTTCTCCACTCCCTCACTTAGTAGCTCATCTCCGTCTTCTAGTTGTTTGCCTCCAAAGATAAGTCTCAATTCTTCACTAGGGATCTCCTCCTTGTTCTCGATTTTAGCCTTGAGTACTTCAACGGTGTCTGTTGGTTCAACATCCAAGGTGATAGTTTTGCCCGTGAGGGTTTTCACAAAGATTTGCATTTTCCCTGAAAAAAAAAGAGAACGCTAACATGTACGCTCTAATAGTTTGTTTACCATCGAAAATAGGGGTAAAATTTCTTTATTTGAATTTTAAATTAAAGCAAAACATCTATTTCAGTTTTAAATTCTCTCACTATTAGATTAAATTTAAACGGAGCATCAACACTATCTGGTAGAAAATTAATCAAATTGTTAGTCGTTGTAATTGAAATAAACTCTCATGTGCTTAATTATCGATGGCTCCTGAGAAAAATCTGGTAGAAGTTTTAGAAAAATGAGCGTCAGTCATTGTAATTGCAACATACTGATGTGCCTAATTATGAGGGCCCCGAAATTGTCATTAAAGACAAGTTGGGATGGGATATTGGATTTAACTCAAAATTTAGATATCAAAAGAAGAAAGGTAGAAAAGTTAATAAATTTACTTAGACATTTTAATTTTCCAATTTGGAAATTTAATACTTCTCTTAAATGTAAGAGAAAAATTAACAATTCTCCAGTTTGAGAATTGGACTATTTGCTTTTTCTCTCTTTTTGAGATTTTAGCAAATTTCGCGAAATTTTAGAAGGTGTGCCTCACTATTCGCACCAATTTATTACGTTAGCAATACTTATGTACGCCGGACAAAGCGCTTGCTAGTAATATAGGGTCCTATCTTAGAAAGTAAATCTAAAATTCGCTGGAAATAACTTTTTTTAGAAAAGAAGTTAGTATGAATTTAGTGCAAGTTGCCTTTAGACTCGACATTTATTTTAAGGGTTGCATTCTGAGATATTTTGACTGAGAATGGTTGGTGCTTTTAGAGAGAGAGAGAGAGAGAGAGAGAGTTGTAAGAGCAAATTGTTGGAATGAATCTCAGTAGTTTTTAGCTTCAATTTATACTCAATTGGGAAATCTCCCAATCTGTCGTAGAAAAAAATTCGTAATCTCTCGTGAATGTTATTGGTGCATTCGTATTTTACTAGAAGAGTCGTTCGAATAATCGTATTTTACGAGAAGAATCGTTATTATTCGTATTTAACGAGAAAAGTAGTTTTAATTTCCAATGCTTAAAACGTTATACGAGTTATTCCAATTGAATTTCCGTTAATTTTGCAAGGGGATAAAAACATTTATTTTATGGTGGCGGCGGCGTCACGCTTTATGAGCACAATAAATTAGTCATTATGAAAATTCTCTTTAAATTTGGGAGCCTCTTGCTCAAGCGGTTATGTCAAATAGCTCGCCCGGAAAGACAGAAATTTAAATAGCAGTTGAGAACAAAAAAAAAACATAAAAAAGAAACAAAAGGCAGGAGTCAAGCCAAAAATGAACGAAATGCTGGAGAATTGCAACGAAGATCAGAAAAGAATGATAGTAGCATAAGAAAAAAGATTCGGCGCACTGCTCCCTGTTGAGAGGTTTTCAATGACCAAAGCTAATTTCAGAGACGACTACACCCCAGATACGGTCAAAACTTAAGCTTCTTCCAGTCAAAAAAGCAGCTTCAAAGGCTTCAGCACTCATTGTCATGTCCGAAAGGAAATTTTCCAATTGTGCGGCGTCACAATGAAATTCAAGATATTTGATGACGCAGGCACTTCACGCCATGTCGATCGAACCAGATCTAAAGGATGTTATCAGACCCCAGAGTCTTACTGTCAATTAGCTGTGTTTGTGTTAGAAGCCCTCTTGAAGTGTCCAGTGAGAGTTGCGAATAAGATGATATTGTTGCGGTTCATCTGCAATAACGTCGGTTAGTTCCCAAGGCTGATCTCTAGCCTGGTCCATCAGCTGTCAGATTAGACATCGGCGCAAGCGGAGTAAGAGGTGAGAGGTCCGAAAAACTCTCTTTGATGTTCGTGTTTTCAGTCAACTCTCTAAGACGAACAGTGACCAGATCCAAATCTATCGGCGCCACGAGTCTGAGAAAAGACAACAGTAAGCATCAAGAATTCTTGAAATTGAAGTTTTGAGTGCTGTCGACGTCCTGCGGACAGGCACCAGCAACACATGCTCTTAAAAACCGCTTATCTAGCATGCTGGCAGAAAAATTAGACACTGAGACACAACGACCTAGTTACGAAACAGGATAAGCAGGGCAAGCACTCACTCGTGCATCATGAGATTGAGAGGAGCTCGATCAAACAACAAACTACCTGTTAGAGCATGTTTGATGTTCATGTTTTCAGTCAACTCTCTAAGAAGAACAGTGACCAGATCCAAATGTACCGGCGCTACGAGTGTGAGAAGACAACAGCATCAAGAATTTTTGAAATTGAAGTAGCAGAGTGCTGTCGATATCCAGTGTACAGGCACCAGCACACATTCTCTTATCTAGCATGCTGCAGAAAGACTAGACATGCTAAGACACAACCACCTTTACAAAACAGGATAATTAGCGCTACCACTCACTAGTGCATTATGAGATTGAGAGGAGCTCGATCAAACAAATCACCCGTTAGAGCATGTTTGATATTCGTGTTTGATTTTCACCGGCGCCACGAGTGTGAGAAGACAACAAAACGCATCAAGAGTTCTTGAAATTGAAGTAGGGAGTGCTGTCGACATCGAGTGGACATGCACCTACACACATTCTCTAGAGAGGCGCTTATCTAGCATGCTGGCAGAAAAACTAGACATGCTGAAACACAGCAACCTAGTTACAAAAACAGGATAATTTGGGCAACCACTCACTCGTGCGTTATGAGATTGAGAGGCGCTCGATCAAACGACAAATCACCCGTTAGAGCATATTCGATATTCGTGTTTTCAGTCTACTCTCTAAGAAGAACAGTGACCAAATCCAAACCTGCGCCACGAGTCTGAGAGAAGACAAAGTAAGCATCAAGAATTCATGAAACTGAAGTAGTGAGTGCTGTCAACATCCAGTGTACAGGCACCTGCACACATGCTCTTATCTAGCATGCTGGTAGAAAGACTAGGCATGCTAAGACACAACCACCTAGTTACAAATCAGGAAAATTAGGGAAACCACTCACTCGTGCATTATGAGATTGAGAGAAGCTCGATCAAACGACAAATCACCCATTAGAGCATGTTTGACATTCGTGTTTTCAATCTACTCTATAAGACAAACAGTGACCAGATCCAAATGTACCAGCACCACGAGTGTGAGAATACAACAAAACGCATCAAGAATTCATGAAACTGAAGTAGTGAGTGCTGTCGACATCCAGTGGACATGCACCTGCACACATGCTCTAGAGAGGCGCTTATCTAGCATGCTGGCAGAAAAACTAGACATGCCGAAACACAACAACCTAGTTACATAAGAGGATAAGTAGGGCAACCATTCACTCGTGCATCATAAGATTGAGAGGAGCTCGATCAAACAACAAACCACCCGTTAGAGCTTGTTTGATATTCGTGTTTTCAGTCTTTTCTCTAAGACGAAAAGTGACCAGATCCAAATCTACCGGCGCCATGAGTCTGAGAAAAGACAACAAAACGCATCAAGAATTCTTGAAATTGATGTAGTGAGTGCTGTCGACATCCTGTGTACAGGCACCTGCACAAATGCTCTTATCTAGCATGCTGGCAGAAATACTAGACATGCTAAGACAGAACCACCAAGTTACAAAACAGGATAACTAGGGCAAACACTCACTCGTGCATTATGAGATTGAGAGGCGCTCGATCAAACGACAAATCACCCGTTAGAGCATGTTCGATATTCGTGTTTTCAGTCTACTCTGTAAGAAGAACAGTGACCAAATCCAAACCTGCGCCAAGAACCTGAGAGAAGACAAACGTAAGCATCAAGACTTCATGAAATTGAAGTAGTGAGTGCTGTCGACATCCAGTGGACACGCACCTGCACACATGCTCTAGAGAGGCGCTTATCTAGCATGCTGGCAGAAAAACTAGACATGCTGAAACACAACAACACAGTTACATAAGAGGATAAGTAGGGCAACCATTACCTCGTGCATCATAAGACTGAGAGGAGCTCGATCAAACAACAAACCACCCGTTAGAGCTTGTTTGATATTCGTGTTTTCAGTCTATTCTCTAAGACGAAAAGTGACCAGATCCAAATCTACCGGCGCCACGAGTCTGAGAAAAGACAACAAAACGCATCAAGAATTCTTGAAATTGATGTAGTGAGTGCTGTCGACATCCTGTGTACAGGCACCTGCACACATGCTCTTATCTAGCATGATGGCAGAAATACTAGACATGCTAAGACACAACCACCAAGTTATAAAACAGGATAACTAGGGCAACCGCTTACTCGTGCATTATGAGATTGAGAGGAGCTCGATCAAACGACAAATCACCCGTTAGAGCATGTTCGATATTCGTGTTTTCAGTCTGCTCTCTAAGACGGACAGTGGCCAGATCCAAATCTACCGGCGCCACGAGTGTGAGAAAAGACAACAAAACGCATCAAGAATTCTTGAAATTGATGTAGTGAGTGCTGTCGACATCCTGTGTACAGGCACCTGCACAAATGCTCTTATCTAGCATGCTGGCAGAAATACTAGACATGCTAAGACAGAACCACCAAGTTAAAAAACAGGATAATTAGGGCAACCACTCACTCGTGCATTATGAGATTGAGAGGCGCTCGAACAAACGACAAATCGCCCGTTAGAGCATGTTTGATATACGTGTTTTTATTCTACTCTATAAGACGAACAGTGACCAGATCCAAATGTACCGGCGCCACGAGTGTGAGAAGACAACAAAACGCATCAAGAATTCTTGAAATTGAAGTAGTGAGTGCTGTCGACATCCAGTGGACAAGCACCTGCACACATGCTCTAGAGAAGCGCTTATCTAGCATGCTGGCAAAAAAAAACTAGACATGCTAAAACACAAAACTTAGTTACAAAAGAGGATAAGTAGGGCAACCATTTACTCGTGCATCATGAGATTGAGAGGAGCTCGATCAAACAACAAATCACCCGTTAGAGCTTGTTTGATATTCGTGTTTTTCAGTCTATTCTCAAAGACGAACAGTGACCAGATCCAAATCTACCGGCGCCACGAGTCTGAGAAAAGACAACAAAGCACATCAAGAATTCTTGAAATTGATGTAGTGAGTGCTGTCGACATCCTGCGTACAGGCACCTGCACACATGCTCTTATCTAGCATGCTGGCAGAAATACTAGACATGCTAAGACAGAACCACCTAGGTACAAAAACAGGATAATTAGGGCAACCACTCACTCGTGCATTATGAGATTGAGAGGCGCTCGATCAAACGAGAAATCACCCGTTAGAGTATGTTCGATATTCGTGTTTTCAGTCTACTCTGTAAGAAGAACAGTGACCAAATCCAAACCTGCGCCAAGAACCTGAGAGAAGACAAACGTAAGCATCAAGACTTCATGAAATTGAAGTAGTGAGTGCTGTCGACATCCAGTGGACACGCACCTGCACACATGCTCTAGAGAGGCGCTTATCTAGCATGCTGGCAGAAAAACTAGACATGCTGAAACACAACAACCTAGTTACATATGAGGATAAGTAGGGCAACCATTTACTCGTGCATCATGAGATTGAGAGGAGCTCGATCAAACAACAAATCATCCGTTAGAGCTTGTTTGATATTCGTGTTCTTCAATCTATTCTCAAAGACGAACAGTGACCAGATCCAAATCTACCGGCGCCACGAGTCTGAAAAAAGACAACAAAACACATCAAGAATTATTGAAATTGATGTAGTGAGTGCTGTCGACATCCTGTGTACAGGCACCTGCACACATGCTCTTATCTAGCATGATGGCAGAAATACTAGACATGCTATGACACAACCACCAAGTTACAAAACAGGATAACTAGGGCAACCGCTTACTCGTGCATTATGAGATTGAGAGGAGCTCGATCAAACGACAAATCACCCGTTAGAGCATGTTCGATATTCGTGTTCTCAGTCTTCTCTCTAAGACGGACAGTGACCAGATCCAAATCTACCGGCGCCACGAGTGTGAGAAAAGACAACAAAACACATCAAGAATTCTTGAAATTGAAGTAGTGAGTGCTGTCAACATCCAGTGGACAGGCACCTGCACACATGTTCTAGAGAAGCGGTTATCTAGCATGCTGACAGAAAAACGAGACATGCTAAGACACAACCACCTAGATACAAAACAGGATAAGTAGGGCAACCATTCACTCGTGCATCATGAGATTGAGAGGAGCTCGATCAAACAACAAAACACCCTTTGGAGCATGAGATCCTATGCCATTGAACTCACTCACGCACAGACCCGCAACAAACATCATCTAAGAAAATGAACACTTACATCAAAATATCGACATTGAACTGCATAGCACACTTTTTCGAACTCTAGTCATTACACATCTTGCTTCGATTTAATGTTGTTTGCCTCCAAATATGTGTAGGATTTTTTTTAACAGAAGCTTCTCCTAAGTCCATTTTTAATTGACCTTTTTTCAAATATATTTTTATAATAAAAACTTTAATATCATTTTTATAGGGGACCTGGTCAATTTTTAGAACCTTCCTATCATAGTTACATCTAGTGGATTTAATATTTACCCATTCTCGGTAATAAAGCACCTGAAAGTAGCATCGATGATAATTTATAAATGATAACTTATGTCACAGAGCACATTATGGCAAGATTCGCTGATTAAATTTTTTTTCAGCGAAAAGCTACTGGATTAATATTTACTTCTTCTTGTTAAATGAAATGAAAAGACTAAGCAGCAGAGTGATTTATATTTACAAAATTAAGTGATAGAACTTTTCACAGCATGCCTTGAAAAAATGATGACTGCATTTTGATCCCAATACTAATGCAACAATTATTTGCGGCTAGCTTTTTTGCTTTTATCGGGTATGGGCGGGAGAGTGCGCGCCGATGCACTGAGAACTTGAGACAACTCAGAATTGTAGTTGTCACTTCGAATATGATTTATGACATGATGCTGTCCCAGTAAAAACTGATCTTTCAAAGACCTGCACCATGGGTTCTCTTTTCCCCGCAAAATTGACTGATTCACGTCATCAAAATGCAACTCTCCGAACCCTACAGGCAAGTACTCCAATCTATTGCCCTCAATGAAGAATTCTTTCAGCTTCTTCAGATTTGAAACAGCATTCGGGAGCTCGATAAGATCATTATTTCGGAACGACAAAGTTTCCAAATTTGACAATCTGCAAATGCTTTCAGGTATCCGCTGAAAATCGTTATCAGCAAAATACAGCGCTCTCAGCGTAGCAGTCAACATTTCGAAGTTTCTCGGCAGAGATTGCTCTCTCAGGTTATTGTATGAGAGGTCTAAGACTTCTAATGCTGGAAACGACCCGAAGCCCTTGGGAAGTGTGTCGATTCTATTGCATCCAAGATAGAGGTGTTTAAGTTTGGGTATAGTGCACAAGTTAGCAGGCAAGGCCACAATCTTATTGTTTGTGAAGTTCAGGTACTCCAAATTTTCCAGGGTACAAAATGACGCCGGTATTTCGGGAATTTTATTGTGTGCACAGTTGATTTTGGTTAAGCTGAGGCGCATGGTATGAAATTCTGGAGTATTCGGTATATCCACCATATTGTGAACATCCATGTCAATAATCATCAGCTGCTTCGATTCCCCCTTTCGTATCTTGTCCAACTGTTCTTTCATAACATTTTTGACAGACGACATCTTGTACAGTACCTTAAAACGCAGATCCTAAATTAGTTTTTTTTTAAAATTAAAATGGGCCCTTCCGTCATGCGACGGTACGTGCACAGGTTGGATAGGGCTCTACCAACGCTATATAGATAAAAACCATAACGCTATAAACGTTGAAGTCAAACTAGAAAGGGCGAGAGGCGCAGTACAGAGGGGTGTAGATGAGAAGTTTTGGCCTTCGGTAATTAAATATTTAAGTCTTAGGGGACAAAGACAAACAGCAACAGTCAAAGAGACCCATCAGAAGAAGCTAATGAAACTATCAGAAAGGCAAGACCGACCTCTATGGAAGCAAGGTGAGGGTTCGGTAAGAACTCTTGATGATGTTGAATTACCAAATTGGGTACAAGTGTTGGCATTAGGGCCAAAGCATCCCGTCAGGGATAAATTTAATGAGACACACTTTTTCGCCGACATTGACATCTTTCTATCGGATCTCAAAAATCGTAAAGTCCCCGGGGAGGCCCTTTGTGAGATCGAAGCTGTGGCAAAAGCCTATGCTAAGAGGGTGAAACAAACACCATCTGACAAAGGCGTTGAGAAGGCCCGAAAGTATCTGAAGAGTAATGGATTAGCTGCGGTACCGTATGACAAAGGCGTGGGTTTTTGTGTAATGAGAAAGGACACCTACGAGAACAAGTTGTCGGATACATTAGATTCAAATCAGTTCAGCAAAAGTAAAGGAACAGGTGATGCGATTGTTTTGAAGATAGAAAGAGACATCAATAGGGAGTTGTTGGCTATGAGGAAAAAAGATGAAATAAGTGAGAGTCTCTACACAAGGATCAGGTCTACTGGGGGGCAGCCCGCCAGGCTTCATGGGCTGGCGAAAGTGCATAAAGTGAATACCCCATTAAGACCGGTCCTCTCCTTGCCTGGTAGCTCTTATAATAACTTGAACAAGGTTCTTGCAAAATTTTGCGAGAAAATTGAGGGCGCAAACATCGAAACCAACTCACTTGATGCGAGAGAAATCTTAGAGAGCACTAATCTTGAGCCCAATGAAAACTTGATATCTCAAATGTTCCACTGAAAGAAGCGATAGACATAGCTCTGAAAAAACTGTATGAGCAAGATGAACCAACATCAATTGCTAGGAAAACCATAAAGAGACTGTTGAACATGACAGTTAGTCAAGTCCATTTCAAGTGCAATTAAACATGGTACGTTCAGAAACATGGTTTGGCAATGGGGGCATCTCTTGCCGTTATTTTAGCAAATCTTTGGCTGAAGCAGTACGAAACTGCACTATCAAGGGATTTTCCCGAAATGTTTTTGCCCGAGAAAAATCTTCAAGGAATATGCACCGAGTGCAATAAGAAAATCACGTACAGGTCAAAAGGTGCAGAATGTGAATGCTGTTTGAACTGGTATCACGTAAAATGCGGTGATATATCAGATGATGAGTATCGAAATATACGTGAAACCGTCTAGTACTGCAGAAAATGCATCGCAATAAGGGAGAAAAATAAGTCAGGGCAACAATCTAAATTGTTTCTCCGTTACGTTGATGATATAGTGAGAACAGTGAAGGGTGATCCTGAAAAAGTGCTACGGGCTGCAAACTTACTACATCCAAATTTACAGTTCACAATAGAGACACCAAACACAAAAGGAACTTTGGCATTTTTGGAATTACAAATTAGTATTGACAAAAGCAGGAAACTTAGCTGTGGGTGTTATCAAAAAACAACAGATACAGGTACCATACTCAATTTTAGAAGCTGCGCCCCCCTTCAGTACAAGAGAAGTGTGATTGAAGGAACTGTTCACCGGGTTTTCCGCAGTACGGCAACATGGGAAGAATATGATAAAACCATGAAAATCAACCGTGAGCAGTGGTTGGATAACCAATATCCGGAAAGTTGGTCGTCGCGGGTTGCATCCCATGCCCTTGAAAAGATCATCAGCGAGGGCAAAAACAAAAAGAACATGGCTGACAAAAGAAGCCCTGTGATTATAGCAGTGATCCACCACCCATCTTGATGGTTCAATATAGGGGGAATCACAGTCAGACATTAGCAAAAAAAGTGCGCGATATCACCAATGCGCTGATAATATTCACGACGAGGAAATTGAAAACTTGTATGCTCTCTCTAAAATCCTCCTTTTCCAGTGAACTGAAATCAAAAGTGGTGTACAGACTTGAATGTTGTGGATGCAAATCCATCTATGTTGGCCAGACGGTGCGACATGTCACCACAAGGATTGAGGAACACCGAAAAGAGGATACCCCAGCTGGAGAACATATAAGGCAGTGTGGTAGTGAGTGTGGTAAGTCTGATTTTAATTGGAAAATAATCGACCAGGCGCCCAGCAGCATCAAATTACTTACATTAGAGGCGCTGCACATTAGGAAAGAGAGACCGGCAATTAACACGCGCGACGAGTTTAGAAGTAGGGAGCTGACACTAAGGCTATAGTTCGAGAATCGAAAAATTCTGGCTAAAACAACAAAATTTTTGTTCTTATGATTCGTTCCGTTTCTCGCTTAGTTTCTCTGCTAGTTTCTGGATGGTTTTTGTAGAGCTTGGTGCTGCTCCTCCGGTACACGCAAAAATTAGTGGAGCAACGCTGCTGTGTTACACATCCAGAATTCTTTGTTGGTATTTTAATCTTTTCACACTCTCATGATATTTGTAGGCGTCAGATATAGTTTTGGTGCAGGATTTAGCATGGGGGTTGAAAATTTTTACATCGAAAAAGGTTTGGCTGAGTCGGCCTCATTTGCCTTGATGTCAAGTCGAGCGTCATCTTCAGTGGTGGCTGTTATGTTGTGAAAGCTTTCACCTTCCAACGAACGAAGTTTCGGCGCTATTTCAACATCATGGCATACTTCGTCTTGGAATGTCGCAAAGGCATCGCGAATTTCATTATGTCTTAGGTGAGTGTATCCACCATTGCGACAGTGTAGGAAGTGGGTCAGTGTGAACGGTGGTCCACATGGGCTTGTATGTGGGTTGTTTGGTGGTTCCCATCCATATCTCGGATGTAATCCATCTTTAAACTCTGATTTGATGAGGTAAAAATTGTATCTTTTTAAAGGTAGCACGCTTAGCCAATTCGATGCTCCTTTCTGTAACGCTAGATTTTTTGTCATTTTTTTTTCTGATGAGCAATTTTCCATAATTTTAGCTTTTTTTGAGAGTGTGATGTTCTGTCTCTAAGTTTTGATGTTTCTATTTGTCAGAGTTTGTTCCGTTTCAGCTATTTCTGGTCTACTGTTTTCTAACGGATCACAAAAGGCTGAGACCACTCATAATTTCTGGAAAAGTCTGTGTTACTGAGGAGGTCTAATCCTCCCATTCTTAATGGTAGTACAGAAAGGTTGCGATCTTCATTGGTTATATGTTTTTTACTAGTTATTCTAGGAAGTAGCTGCTGTCTTACATTTTTCTCAATTTCATCCATTTTCTTGAAAGCTTCCGAAGTTGTTCTGGTTAGAAAGCTTAATTTATTATGAACTCCCTTTGTGTAGCAGGAGTAGGCATTTTGTGGCGATGTTTTGGCTATTTTGTAAAGCACTTCAGTTAGGGTAGCTGTCACTTCAATTTGCTTTCCATGTATTTATCGCATTCTGATGGTGTTCCTGTAATCGATCCAAGGACTCTAAATTAGTCTACCATTGTAATATTTGTAACTTCAAATAGTTTTATGTCGCTGTCATGATGGTCTTCTTTTTCTATGAGTTGACACTTGTAAGACTTCACATTGTATCCGAAAATTTTTCCGTGCTCATCCAGGCTGTCCAGTATTGCGCGGAGACTCTTAAGATAACCTGCAGCGCTTCCATCATCTACGTACCATTTTTGGATGACATTTGATTCTTGCAGGAACTCAATTAGTAGGATAATCCCAATTCCGTGCATAGCCATTGCGAAGGGATCACATTTCGTTGTGCCTTCGGTAGATGTCAAAACCGTGTTATTGACATATAGATTTGAGGGATGTTTATATGAGTTGGCCAGCGCATGATGTAGTGCCGGACAAAGGATTTCTACATTTTTAGAGTTCTCTACTGAGCGAGGTGAAGGCATTTTCTGCATCAATAATTAGTATGGCATCCTTTTCCGGTTTGTCAATTAAAATATACCCTCCTCGATTATAGCACAGATAGAATTGTCTATGTTGGATGTAGTTTTGCTTCCCCTAAGACAGAGGATTGCACTCCTCAGAAGTGCAAAACTTATTTTTGTACTTATGATTCGTTCCGTTTCTCGCTTAGTTTCTCTGCTAGTTTCTGGATGGTTTTTGTAGAGCCTGGTGCTGCTCCTCCGGTACACGCAAAAATTAGTGGAGCAAAGCTGCTGTGTTACACATCCAGAATTCTTTGTTGGTATTTTAATCTTTTGACACTCTCATGATATTTGTAGGCGTCAGATATAGTTTTGGTGCAGGATTTAGCATGGGGGTTGAAAATTTTTACATCGAAAAAGGTTTGGCTGTTAGAATTTGGTGTTTCTTCTACTAATGACAACAGCTGCTGGTTCATTAATTCTATGAATTGGAAATCGGGTTTGTTCTTGCTTGGAACTATGAAGCGAGGTTTCCAGTTAACGACATTTTTAAAAATTGGTTACTTTGAATTCAAGATCATGTTCGATAAGTTTCGAGGCGTCAAAGGGGACTATAGTGATTGCTGGGGACTAGGGATTAGATTGAGTTGCGTTGGACAGTATGTTTGTTTCAGGTGTTGCTGGTGATGTTTCTTTTTGAGTTGTGATGGGGGCTGTGCTTGTTGGTCTGTTGGTGGAGTTGGACTCTTTTGCAAAGTTCTGGGGGGTGCATTGTATGAAGGAGAACCCATCGTAATAAAAATTGCTGCTCTGTAGCCCGCTACATGAGACATGGATGTAAGCTTCGCAAATGACACAGAATATGCCCTCTTTTCGGAGGTGGCGTTTGCTAGTAAAGCAGTGCGCTTGATCGGCCATAATTTGGCAGCAAGGAGGGTTAGTTTATGGTGAAGA